TCTTCAGCTGGTGTGCCCAGGATGGCCACCAGAGGACACTGTGTGCTTGTGTAAGCACATGGCTGGTGTTGTGTTTGTTTGGTGCCATGTGCTTTCTCCTGTCGATTGTCTAACCCCGCCTATCTTGTTACCTCATTATTGTTTCAGTTATTCCACCTGTGTCTCCCTCGTTACCTGCCCTACTTAGTCTCCTTGGGTTTGCAGTTCTGTGCTCTTTCATTATTTGTCATATGTGGTCTAATGTGTCTATGTGTTTTTAGCCTGCTCTGCCTGTTCCTGTGTGGCCTTCCCTCGCCTTGCCGAGCTGTGCCCTGTTCTGGCCTTCCTGACAGTTTTTCCCCCTTGGGGTAGCTTTTGTTAGTTTTGTTTATTTTTATTATTAATAAAGAGTTCGATTACTGCATCTTTGAGTCCTCGCCTCATCTCTCCGCACGGTCCATGACAGAACGAAGAAGCCATTAGAGGATTCAGCAGAAGATGGGCATATTTTTGTTTCCGGCTCCCATTGAACAGGAGACTGTCTCCAAGGACCTACCCTTGGCCAGAGGACTGCTACTATGCCACCAGAACTATCGCCCTTTTGGGGTATATGCTCAAGCCCTCCTTGATGAAACCGAGGGGCTAGGCTTTAGTGAGTGCACCCTCATACATGCCTTTTTCGCTGGACTGGATGACCCTGTTGATTGAGGAGCTGGGGGATTCAAAAGCCTGGACTTTTTGGGAGGTGGTAGACTACTGTTGCCAGCTAATGGAGAGGCAACTGCTGCAGGAGGAGTGGGTTCCTCTCCCTGTTCTTCCCACCTCCCTGCCCATTCCCGCCGGTTTGCCTCATTCTCAGAAGAGGAGGAGAAGAGCAATTACCACGGTTGGTGGTCCCAGGTCCAGTGGTCCTGGAGGACCCGACTCTGGTGGGCTCAGTTCTGGTGGTCCTGGAGGACCTGACTCTGGTGGTCCCAAGTCCGGTGGTCCTGGAGGATCTGACTCTGGTGGGCTCAAGTCCGGTGGTCCTGGAGGACCTGACTCTGGTGGTCCCAAGTCCGGTGGTCCTGGAGGGCCCAACTCTGGTGGTCCCGAGTCTGGTGGTCCTGGAGGAGCCGACTTTGGTGGTCTCTAGTCTGGTGGTCTTGGAGGACCCGACTCTGGTGGTCTCAGAGATCACCACAGAGCCGCCCAATTTCACTGCTGCTGCCATAGTCAAGAAGGCTGTCTTTGCCTTTGGCCTCTGGACTGTTCTGCGTGCATGGGAGCATTCAGAGTCCACTCTAGAGCCTGCTCCAGTCCGGGAGCATTCAGAGTTCACTCCAGAATCTGCTCCGGTCCTGGAGCCCTCAGAGTCCGCTCCATAGCCCGTTCTAGAGCCTACTCAAGTCTATGAGTTCACTCCTAGGCTCACTCTAATCCGGGAGCCATCAGAGTCCACTCCAGAGCCCGCTCCAGTCCGGGAGCCCTCAGAGTCCACTCCAAAGCCCACTCCAGTCCGGGAGCCCTCAGAGTCCACACCAGAGTCTGCTCCAGTCCGTGAGCTCTCAGAGTCCACTCATGAACCCACTCCAGTTCGGGAGCCCGCTTCAGTCCAGAAGCCTACATAGTCCACTCCAGAGCCTGCTCCAGTTCCCCCCGAGGTGGCGACTTCTGTTGCAGAACCTCCTGAGGTGGCAGCATCCACTTCAGCTCCTCTCTGAGCGGTGGCGCCCACTCCTGAACTCTCAGTCTTTCTTGTCCCAGCCAAGGAGACGGTTGCTGAACTTTCTGCCGGTCCAGTTATGGCCATCAAGGCTGTTAATAACCTCTCTGTGCTCTTCATTGCAGTCCTGCCTGAGCCACCAGGGGGGTCATCTGCCTTGTCAACGCCGCAGAAGTGTTCATCGGCTCTGCCCTTGCTGCCTGCCAAGCTCCCGGCTCTGCCCTGGTCACTCGCCAGAGTTGCTGTTCGGTCGGAGCCTCATTGTTCAGTCCCTCCGGTTCCGTCCTGGTGGTCCGCCGGGGTTCCTGTTTAGCCGGAGCCTTGCTGGTCTGTCCCTCCTGCTCCGCCCTGGTCACTTGCTCTGCCACAGTCTCCAGGCCCTGTCCCACTCCATTGGCCTGGCCTACCATCCCTACCCCTGTTCCACCTCCTCCACCACCCTCCTTGACTCTTGTTTTGTGCCTCGAACTGTAGAGCGTCTGGAATCCGCTCCTTAGAGAGGGGGTTCTGTCACAGTCTTCAGCTGGTGTGCCCAGGATGGCCACCAGAGGACACTGTGTTTGTGTAATCACATGGCTTGTGTTGTGTTTGTTTGGTGACATGTGCTTTCTCCTGTCGATTGTCTGACCCCGCCCATCTTGTTACCTCATTGTTTCAGTTATTCCACCTGTGTCTCCCTCGTATTTCATAGATCCAGAATTAGACCGAGACCTCCCCCTCTCTTGGGAATGACAAAGTCCCAGCAGCACTTTTTAAATTGTTCTATTGTTCAATAAAGCAGTTATTTCTTTCTCTAAACTCTGAGATGACTCCCTTTCTGCTGATGACGTTAACACAAACTGCAGACAATAATCCTGAATTATCATTTAAAAAAACAAGTTTATTATGGATACAAACGTATCTGTAGTCTACGTTTTTGTGCTTTTGCATAGCCACTTCCTACGCAAAAGGTGGGATTTATAAAAACAAACTTGACTAGAAAATTTGTGCGCATGCACGCAAACTCTGGCCCATGCGTACAAACTCCTTTTCCTGGAGTGAGAAAATTAATAAAGAAATAAAAATCAATAAAGATAAAACTCTTTATTTTTTTAAGATTTCATCCTAAAAGTGTACGTAGGCACAAAAGCTAGATTTTGCATATGCTCAAAAGTTTTCAGATTTATAAAAACGTGCGTACGCAAGAACCTGCACAAAAATCTCTTTAGAAATCCCAGTCAGGGGAAGATTGTGCATACATGCATCTCCACCCCGACTATAGGCACAGCTTACAATGCCTAGTTTTACTATGCATAACCTCATCTGTATATCATTTCCATGCATATTCCCATCCACGTGGCACCATGTTTAACACCGTCAAAGATAAAAGACATTAAGGAAATATGAGATACGGACTATAAATGCCATTTGTGCCATACACATGCATTTTTATTGCTTAAAATCATCCAGTATCCTTGTTATGTTTTAGAATAAATATTTCAAAGTATTCCTAAAAAACTGTTCAAAATAGTTCTAAGAAAAACAATTTAGAATAGAGTTGATCTTATTCATTTCAACTGGCTCAATAATATTTAAATTGTTTTAAAAAATTCGAATTAAATTAAATTAATGCAGTTTTGCTGATAAGGTGAACATCTTTTAGTTATTTTTAGTGGAAACATTCATTTCAACTGGCTCAATAATATTTAAATTGTTTTAAAAAATTCGAATTAAATTCGATTAATGCAGTTTTGCTGATAAGGTGAACATCTTTTAGTTATTTTTAGTGGAAAATATAGGCCTATATTTATTGCAGTGTAAATACAATTATCTAACTCCGCACGTCATTGACAAAGTATTTTAAAAAAGGAAACGTGCAAATCTTACCGTTTTCTTCAAGTTGTATCCTTCAAAAACAGTGGTATTTTTCATAATGTTGTGGAGATGTCTTCACACGACATCAACACTTCCGTGCAGCTGTGGTTGTACAGTAACTAATTATCATTGGTCCTATTCAAACCGGACAATAGACCGTTCCACCGAATCCAGCAGTGTCTGCCACAATATCGCTAAAATTATCAATCGCTAAAAATATTTTCTCATAACATGAGATGTGCAGTTTACTTTAAAGATAAATTATTGTGCACCTATAGCACTCCTCGCTGTCATTAAAACATAACATACCAAAGGAAAAGTAATCAAGCGCATCCACTACAAATAGGCTGTCTAAATTCATTATCATTTTGGTTTAACTTCTGCACAATTACTTTATGTAATTTCAGTGCTTATCTCCATTAATGAGAGTGGAATAATTCATGTAAATGTATACGATGAAATGAAAACAGTTTAAAATCATTTACTTCATTACATTTCTTTCTCCAGGAAAAAAAAGTCCGTACGCATGGGTCACAGTTTGCGTGCAGGTGCGCAAATTTTCCCATCAAGTTTGTTTTTTATAAATCCCACCTTTTGCGTAGGAAGTGGGGTATGTCTCTTTCAGGGCAGGTTTTGTACGCACGCAACGGTTATAAATGAGGCCTCAGGCCCCTCAGAGGGTCAGCCCATTGCAGGGAACAGTGGTGAGACAGCATGTTGCCAATTGAAGATGATAAATGGCAAATTTCTTGCTCAGTCCACATTTAGGCCTACTACAAAGAAAGGACATCATGAGCCACCCTCATTATCTTTTCCAGTACATTCTGTGACAGACCACAATACCGGGTATTTGGGATTTTAGGTTTCATATTGTACATTCATGCAACATTTTCTGTCACTGTTTGACATTTATATTTTGCCAACTTCACAACTGGCCTTCCCAAAATACTCACCAAGGAGAACTTGCAGACTTGTGCATAAAGTTCCAGGACTTCTTTCTTGGTCACAGTTGAATCCATGCCATTGAACCACTTGAAACTCTCCAGATAAGCAGTAAGCCAATCAAACTGAAGTTCACAGCTAGGGTACAGGCTGGAGTCAACATTATTGATACCTCAAAATTCAAAGACAAATTATGTGTTAGTGTGTTAGATAGACAGTAGTAAAAGTCATATCTTTTAATGTTGGTTATCGTTACTTTTTATTTTTATTTGTACCTGCAAATTCATTGAAATGGTTTCCAATATCATATGCTTGGTAATTAAAATCTGCATATTCATAGTCAATGAATTTTACTGCGCCTACAATCAGGGGGTAAAAAGTTATTATGAGTCTATGGAAAACAGTACAAGACACAATGAAATAAAATGCAATGCACTAATGAGTGTCATAATCATTCAGTATATAATTAGTTCCTCCAGGATTTCGTGGGGCTTTTTTTTTTTTTTTTGAGACCTAAAATAATTAAATAGTTTGCGGCAGCTTTTCTCAAAATTTGTGGCAATAATTACAGGATTTCTTGTGTTGTTTTGCAGTGAGAAAAAAAATGGCACAGACAACATTGTTCTAACATTATTTATTTTCTGACCTCAAGAACCATTGGGCTCTATAATTGTTAAAAAGAGAACACTTAGACAAACAAAAAGAGAAACTTAAGTGCTGTCTTCTTACCCTATAAAGCCTACTATATCATAATTTATACATGGATTTCTAAAGATTTTAAATTAATAACATGACCCAAACTTTGGTGAAAAATCTCTAATACATCTCTAATACAATTATTAGCACTAATAATAGTAAAACAATCATGTTAAATTGTACCAAATAATGAAACAACAGGCATTTGAAGAACATTTATTTGTTCATCTTGCAATCATCTTTGTAGGCATACTGAATTGTATACTGTTATAAAAATCACATAAATTAAAAATTTTTTCCATATGAATACAATTTTGGTCAGTTTGGGTCTCTGAATAAAAACTGGTGTATCAAGTATGACAGAAAAAAAACATGGCTTTTTTTTGTCTTTTAAATTTTGTCTAAAAAAACAAACAAACAAAAACCCAGACTATTATTGAACTATTTCAAGTTAAGTGATTAATATAATATATATTTTTAATTCCTTGTCCGTGTTGGTGTTGTTCAGAATATACGATCCTCTTTAATGTGGCATATAGGCATTGGTCTGGTTAATTGATTAATTGATCTGGGGTGCGTTTCCCACAAGCATCATTAGCTAACTATGGTCGTAAGTTCCACTGAACTCTATTGGTAACGACAGAACTTGCGGCCATAGTTGCTTTTGGGAAAAGCACCACTGGTTAATAGAAAAGATGTCATTCAGAGTGTGCACGATTCTGTGCATATGTGTGTTAGAGATAATGTGTGCTGTACAGTGGGAGCACATGCATTGCAGAAGCAACGGCGCAAACAGAAATTGTGATCACACAACGAGTCTATGCCCAAACTATGTGCGAAATCTGTGGCAATTTAGAAAAATTGCAAGTTCTTCCAAATTATGGTAAGTTTGTTTGATTTTGCATTTTTGCACTGATTGAAGAATCACAAAATCCTGGAGGGATTGTATCATGTATTATGGCTTCACATTTCATTAGTACAACTAAATGCACCAAAATATCTGCTATAAACATTAATTGAACACAATATGTTATGCACAAATTAAAGTGGCTTGAATACAGTCATGAAATTCATGATATTGGTATGTAATCTTCCAGTTAATCACTTTGCATACAGCATGGCCGTATGTATTCTTTCAGCCATTGAGTTTGTGTGCTACCTATATCTGTAACTTTTGCTCCAGTCTTTGCTGTAAGTCAGTAATCACTGCTGAGTCTTCTCTCTGAAACTCCTACTTCCTCCCCAGCTCCACCTGTCTAGATCTAATTACAGTGGATTTATGAATATTTTGTGGCTGCATCATCATGCCTGACAAGTTCACAGCAGAATGTCGATGCATATCTTAGCAGTAGCAAGTGCCTGTATTTGCTTTGTACAGCAGCAGTATAGTTCCATGAGTTGTCATGACTGAAACGTTATTATGCCTACACAATAGAATTAACTTGATTGTTTAGAATATTGTGTTTCAGAACAGACAAATTTCAATTACATTCACATAGTAGAGGTCTGCAAGGCTGTAAGTTGGCAAATAATAAGAATTTGAAATCCCTCACCCAGCTAGCTAAGACCTCAGTGTGTGTGTATGTGTGTGTGTGTGAAAGAGAGAGAGAGAGAGAGAGAGAGAGAGAGAGAGAGAGAGAGAGAGAGCGAGAGAGCGTGAGTATTCTGGGGTGAAAGAGAGAGACAGCATGTGGTTTTTGCAGGTTTTTGGTCTTGAGTCCAGTAGCAGACCTCTTTCATGTGGCCAAAACCTCAATTTACATCTAAAGAAAAGCATAATTAAAACAAACTCAAACTCGACTATTCTAATAAATGTTAGTCACCTTCTTCTTGGTTATAGATTACATTTTTAGTCAGGAGGTCATTATGACATAGTACTACTGGGGAGTTGATGTGGGCAAGATGACTCTTCAGTTCCTCCATCTCTTTGATGATTATTTTTAGGCTAGGTGCCTCCACATGGGCACTGGATCTAAAGAACACAAGTGTGCAAAATAGTAAAATTTTGGCAGAGCTGAATTGTATATTAATATTTTTGTCATCTCATAATTTGAAAGCAAATACATGAAAGCTGTCCAAAGAATTTATGAACCAGCAATGAATCTATGCAGTTTAGTTAGTCATACATTTGATATTTTAAAGGTGGATTAAAGGGGTCATATGATGTTGCTAAAAAGAACATTATTTTTGTGTATTTGGTGTAATGAAATGTGTTTATGCGGTTTAATGTTAAAAAAACACATTATTTTCCACATGCTGTACATTATTGTTTCTCCTCTATGCCCCGCCTTTCTGAAACGTGTCGATTTTTACAAAGCTCATCGCTCTGAAAAGTGTGCTGTGATTGGCCAGCTATACAGTGTGTTGTGATTGGCCGAATACCTCAAGCGTGTGACAGAAATGTTACGCCCCTTACCATACTGTGATGTCCTGTCCGGCCGGAGCGACGAGACAAAAACATTAAAACCCATTATAAACTAAGCATTTGTAGCATCCAGTGGGGACATAATTATGGATTATAATGACTTATACTGTCTTTTTACGCATTGCGTTGCATCGCGCCGCGTAAACATAAAACCATGTCTGCATTTGTGAACAGAGAAACAAGAAATAACAAGTGCCACTCTACACTGCTCAAAACTCGCGTTTGAATTATCAGTGGCAAATCCTTTAAATATGAAAACGTACTTACAGTGTGTGAGTCAGAACAGGCATTGTAGTCTACTACCAGGATCAGGAAACAGTCTTTTTATTTTATTTTATTTTTAAGCAGAGGCTCTCTCTGTTATTTCTTTTGACATATTGCATGTTCAGACATTCATACAACAAAATATTCTGGGGGCCATGACATTTTTGTGAAAATTATCAAAAATGCTGGTGGTGGATGGCAAAATGAATGAATGAATGAATGAATGCTGGCAGGGAAAGAGTTAATTTTGAAATACACATTACATTACTACATTTCAAAGTGTTAAATATTATACTTTTAACTCCACCACATTTAGCAAATAATGCCTTTTTCAAGTTAAGAAATAAGTAGTGCTGGGCAATGATAAAAAAATGTAATCGTGATTAATCACATGATTTTTCTGTGATTAATCAAGATTAATCGCATTGCTATGCACAAAATTCAATAATGAATTCAAAAGTAGTGTATTGAACACTTTTTTTCATTTAAAAGTACTGCTATATGAACAAAAGTGCAATAACACTTGGTTTGCAAACACTTTAAACAAATAAGGTGCTTTTTACAGAAGTATTCCTTTTAGTAGCAGTTAAAATATTTCTTGTAAATCTCAACTTAAACATTAATGTAATCAAACTAAATATAAAACCAAAGCTATCTGCCACTGCCAGGACATTAACATTTTTATAGAAAATATTTTATAGTTTGTTATAGAAAAACATGTTATGCTCAGAGTCCAGAGCCTCGATCATAATATTATAACAGGCACCTTCCGAGTAGAGACCAGCACTATCGTGGGATCCAACGCAACAGAGTGTGGTGCGCGACAACACTTGATGGGCGAGTGCGGGCGCGTGCGAGAAGAGACTCGTGTTTGCGGGATGCGGAAGAATAAGGGTGTTCTCACACTAGGCAATCTTAAAGGGTTAGTTCACCCAAAAATGAAAATTCTGTCATTAATTACTCACCCTTATGTCATTCCACACCCCTAAGACCTTCGTTCATCTTCAGAACACAAATTAAGATATTTTTGATCAAATCCGATGGCTCAGACAGGCCTCCATTGACAGCAACGCCACCCAAACTCTCAAGACCCATAAAGATCTTAAAGACATCGTTAAAACAGTCGACGTGACTACAGTGGTTCTACAATAATTTTATGAAGCGACGAGAATACTTTTTGTGCGCAAAAACAAAACAAAAATAACAACTTTATTCAACAACCTCTTCTCTTCTGTCATTCCCATACGTTGTTTACATCCAGCGCTTCAGTGTTCTACATCCGAATGCTGGCTCATTATTGGACAAAGCTGCACATGTGAGCAGCGCGACACATGCGTGTCATGCTGATGCAGAAGCCATCCAATAATGAGCCAGCATTCTGATGTAGAACACGGAAGCGCTGGATGTAAACAACGTATGAGAATACATCATCGGATTTGATCAAAAATATCTTAATTTGTGTTCTGAAGATGAACGAAGGTCTTAGGGTTGTGGAACGACATGAGGGTGAGTAATTAATCACAGAATTTTCATTTTTGGGTGAACTAACCCTTTAACCATGCCTGAGTGCATTTAACCCCCAAAGCCCAGTTCGTTTGACTAGTGTGATCTCTCCGTGCCGTTCGTTTAGCCGTCCCTGGCTCGGTTGGAAGAGGTGGGCCAGAGCACGGTTCAGTTGTGCTCGGGCGCGTTACACATGTAGTGTGAGTGCTAAATGCGCCAGAGAGTGGAACTTATGATACGTGCAGCATGATTGCGTTAATATTTCTGAGTGGCAAAAGTGATAGATCTGTAAAGCAATATATTGTGAGAGGGTCGTGTGTTACCGCGTCCCAAACGACTCAAAATAATGAACCACAAAGTTAACAAAATGTTGTACTCCACTAAGCTAAGCGAGAGTGCTTCTCTGCTGTCTTCACGAAAACGTATTATTTCCTACTTATGAAGTTGTGATTAGGAGCACGCTGCATTCTTTTCTGATTAAAAATAACAGTGAACAATGGTTTGTGAGTGTTGATGCTTAGCCTAAATAATTATAATAACTTAGGCCCGCCCCAAATGCTCTCATTGGTTGAGACACGTGATGACACCCATCCCAAGCCAGTACTGATTACCATCCCACCCCTCCTGTGACTCATGGTTTGTCTGTATGTGTATTCAGAGCCAGTGAGCAATGGACTTCCAAAATAATATATTTTTTTTTAACTGCGTTAATGTGCGATAAAATAATTGTCGATGTTAATTAATTAATGTGTTAACACAACAATAATGTGTTAACTTGCCCAGCCCTAGAAATAAGCCCAGCCCTTTTTTTTTTTTTTTAATTATGAATTAGCTCACAATACCAGTGATTGATCCAGTAATCGGCCTGAACTGGTCAAAGCAGTTCACTCCAGTAACTCACTGACTTGATGCAGTTGGTGTGGGTCTTTGAAATATTTGATTGTTGGAGTGAGCAATAAACTACCAAAATAGCTGTGTTTTTGAATAACTTAGGGACCACAGACTTGACATGGCAGATATTTGTGCTGCAAAATCAACTGCAAAGAGGAAGATTACAGAATTTGATCTATTCTCTGCTAATATCTCTGCTAATTTCATGAATATGTTGACATAATATAAATAAGATAAGAATTATCTGTTATTTGGCTCCTAATTTTAAAAAGGTAATATTATGAAACAATAACAATGTTGCAATCCTGCTGAATTTACTTTTTAACATCAAAATTGAGATTAACCATGCACTCATCCATTCATTTTCCAAACCACTTATACTATATAGAGTATTTGAAATAACGTTCTTTCAAATATGAATACACCATTCAGTTATTTTCATTTAGTCTAGCATAGAGTTAGACATTGCAGAGTTTCTGATAATAGTGTTTCATAACTCTGATGTTCACTTACTTTTGCTGTTCAGGAGCATCAGAACTCTGGACCAGATTAAGGAACTGGGACAATCTAGACCACAAAACGGGTGAACTGTTTCCAGTTTCTCCAGACTTTATGGAATGGATTTTTCCCATTTCTGTTGCAATCAATCTGCAGTCAATGAAAAGGCAATTTCAATTAAGCTAATACTACTACTAATAATAATAAAAACATTAGCTTTCATTTATCTAAAGTATGTTAGGTAGCCAAATCTGCCTTCACTCAGCCATGTTGCGGCATGAGAGCATTTATTAGCACACAATCATAAATATGAGAATTCGATTAAGAAATATACTCCTAGTGATCCAAAGTGTCAATGGGTTAATAATACTCCACAAGAAGCACTGTGAGTGCATGTATTGTGTATTTGTGTGTTTGCGTGTGTGCGGTAAAGGCTCAGACCTGTAAACAGATGGCTGTCTAAGCAGTGTGTCGTCCAGCACAACTCCTTTGACAAACTCATAGCAGATACCATTGGTAAAACTGCAGTACAGTTCCGGGCCACAGCCATGTTTGTGAAGCACCCGGAACATCTCCATCTCCTTATCTCGGTCCATAAAAAGCTCAGTCATCTGTCCATAAACCCTCACCAGTAAAATAGGGTCTTGCATCAGAGAGCCAACATAGCAGCCCATTAATTGGTTAGTGATGCCCTCAGTGAAAGCCTAGGATAATTAAAATAATAATAATAATTATAGCTGCAAATAAGGGGCCAAGCACAACAGAGGTCAAATAAACAGCTAAGGAGCTTTAATTACTCAGTAAAGACTAAGGTTCTCCAACACTGCTCCTGGACAGCTACCCTCCTGCAGACTTAATGTTGCCATCACATGCTATCGGCATTTTCCTGAATAGTTTCCTAATAGGAAATTGGAAGTGAACGGGCTCTCAAATCATATTTTCTACTGGGAAACTTATAGATAATTTTGATACCAGAGTTTCCGAGCTGGGCAGGCCATAAACTTTAAACTTGAGGGGACAACAACAACGATTGCTGATGTCAATGCTATTCTTTATTATTTTTTGCCACAACAACTACATCACTTTGTCTTGTTGTTAAAGTAATGTATTTATAGGCGATATGACTTCATATGTGGGGAATAGGACATTTCTAATAGCATGTGAAGGCAGCAAAAGTTCCAGCCCAGCTTCAACGCACCTGTCAGTAATTAAGGAGCCTAGGACACCTTGATTAGCTGGTTCAGGTGTGCTTGATTAGGGTTGAAGCGGAACTCTGCAGTATGGTAGATCTCCAGGAGCAGGGGTGGAGACCCCAGTTTAAGACATTTGTTGATACAGCATTTACTATAAAATTCAAAATGGCTGATGCCCAAAAAGGCAGACATAGGAAAATTAGGTATCTTTCAATTCGGTATGCATTCCAAATCTAATGACATCAATATTATGATTTTTGGCCAAACTGGTCAGAAGTTATAAGCAAAAAAAAAATCTAATTTTGACCAGTAGGTGGCGTTGTGACAAAACTCATCATGTGCCCTCAGGTTATTCTTTTTATAACACATACCAAGTTTGGTCAGAATCTGTTAAAGTGTTGTGGAGCTATAGCCTCATGTCCATTTTTGCACAAACTTTTTAAATTTGTTCATGTGCTTTATAAAAACGGTGTGGTATATCAAAAGCTATTGATAACAGACTGCTCTGAAGATGATCTGGAGTAATTTTGGTTAAATAAATTATTTTTGCAATGGTTGAGACTATTTTGATTCTGACAAACATACATCACTCACAAATTTTTCAGTACATGTTTTTTTTAATCTAGTAACAGCAAACAATGTTTTGTTTTAAGTGAACTTCTCAACACTTCAAGAACCAAAAAAAATGTAATTATTATGTAAAAGTCTCAACTGCAATTTTCACTTTTCTTGCTTTTTGACAGAAACCATATGCCTAAAGCTGATAACTGTTTCTATCTTTATTGTCAGTTATTGCCCTCAATACTGTAATGATCATTAATAATGTATTATTATTATTATTTTTTTTTTTTTTTTTGTGAGTGTGTTTGTATCCTGGGAAACAGCACATAATATTCATATGGGCTACACAGACAAACAGTTGATAACCGTTTATAGATTAGTTTATTGCTTTTTATGCATTACAAATCAAGACTTTTGATTAATTCTCTTAGCAGTGTGAAAAGCAAAACTGTTATTCAAATTGCAAATAAGTTTCATACAGAAAGCAAGCAAAGAATATTCACTGAAGTGGTCAATGACTTTCAGTGTGAGTTCTGCACATGTTAAATCTCCAATTATAATAACTGAAGCTGTCCACACTGCAAAACTAATATCTCACTTGTATCGTACCTGCACTTTGTTTACAATGATAGAATTCATGTGAGCAAAATTTCTTCTTTATCTGTGACTAATGTACATGCCTCTGATCTCAAAAATAATGTGTGTGATCGGTTGTATGTTCAAAAAAAAAACTATGTGTAAAAATAGATTTTTGATGCAGCTTTGAGCAGATCTAAAGGTAATTCTACAATCAACACTTTTCATTCATTTTCACATTTAACTTTAATCACGACAGTCTGCTTAACTGATAGTTTAATTTTTAGAGTTGTGCAGGGGCATTTTTGTCCCAAACTCATTAATTCTGACCCTGAATCCCCCCTGAGCTGGCATTTGGCGAAAACAATAGTCTGATCTGCTCTGGTTTCCACTTAAGATGGCGCCGCTCATGGCAGCCACGGTGCTTCGCTCTCCAGTTGTTGTAGTGTTTTTGTTAGTTTTTCCTGTTTTTCAAACACGATCAGTTTCACCAGGGATGAACTGGTGAACATTTGGCAGAACACACCACAAAATCTCCTACCGGTTTTCGATTATTCTGATGTTTTGCTGAACATAGTAGTTGGCGGAGCAGCTGCGCTGATCAAACGCTTCAGGACGCGCTGACGGGGAAAGCGAGACGGCACGCTCGTGAAGCTCAGACAGCGCTGATTTCGAACGCCGTTGCCTAGCACCCATCTGGCAAATCTCTGCTCTCTACCCAACAAAACGGACAAACTGCCAGGAACACACTGAATAAGGTAGATTAGAGTGGCTAAAAGGAGCTACGCTAAAATGTTGTAAGATCAGTTCACTTCCAATGACTCAGCTTCATTGTGGAAAGGTCTGAAAGTCATCACCAACTACAAGACACCATACCACAGCACTGAGGCGAATCAACAACTTGCTGAAGAAGAGTTTTATTGTAGATTCGAAAACCCCCCACACCTGTTCTGACCATCTTTCTACACAACCATTAACACCTCCTGTAACCCCCCTCTCCCCCACTCCTGCACTTTAGATCAGTGAAGATGATTTGCGCCAGGTCTACAAGAAGAACAAGAGAAGAAAGGCACCAGGCCCAGACGGTGTGACACCAGCCTGTCTGAAAGCCTGTGCTGACCAGCTGGCCCCCATCTTTTCACAGATCTTCAATAGATCTCTGGAGCTGTGTGAATTCCCTTCCTGCTTCAAATGCTCCACCATCATCCCCGTTCCAAAGAAACCCAAGATAACGGGACTTAACTACTACAGACCTGTAGCACTAACGTCTGTCGTCATGAAGTCGTTCGAAAAACTGGTTCTGGCTTATCTGAAGGACATCACTGGACCCTTACTGGACCCCCTGTAGTTTGCTCTGTCAAGCTCCTGAAGTTCGCAGATGACACTACAGTCATCGGTCTCATCCAGGACGGCAACGAGTCTGCTTACAGACAAGAGGTTGAGCAGCTGGCTGGCTGGTGCAGTCTTAACATCCTGGAGCTGAACATGCTCAAAGCAGTGGAGATGATAGTGAACTTCAGGAGGAACCCCCCTGCACTCCCCCCCACTCACCATCATGGACAGCTCTGTGGCTGCAGTGGAGTCATTCAAGTTCCTGGGAACCACCATCTCCCAGGACCTGAAGTGGGACACTCACATCGACGCCATTGTAAAAAAGGCCCAACAAAGGTTGTACTTCCTTCACCAGCTGAGGAAGTTTAACCTGCCACAGGAGCTGCTGAAACAGTTCTACTCAGGCGTCATTGAGTCTGTCCTGTGCACTTCAATAACTGTCTGGTTTGGTTCAGCTACAAAATCAGACATCAGAAGACTACAGAGAAAGTTTCGGACTGCTGAAAGGATTATTGGTGCTCCCCTGCCCACCTTTCAAGAACTGTATATATCCAGAGTGAGGAAAAGGGCTCAGAAAATCACTCTGGATCCCTCACATCCAAGTTATCCCCTTTTTGAACTTTTGCCATCTTGATATTTGAGGTGTTATGACCTGGGGTAGCACCTGTTCCCTAAACTGGATCTGTTCGCCTCTAGGTGGCTTTCTAGGTTCTGGTGTGTGTGTGTGTGTGTGTGTGTGTTTTCTTTTGTCTGTTTGCAGGGTGGAGACAAGCGGCAGGTGCGATGGATTACCTATGATGAGTTGACTGATAAAAGGATCTGTCCTCCGGTGTGGTGGCCTTGTTGGAGCTTGACTTCTCTCCAGCACCAGACTTTGAGCTTTCTTTGATGTTTGATCTTTTGTTGTTTTCCTTTCTCTTCCCTTTTGGGTTTAATTATAGTTTAAATGACATTAATAAATGTTTATTTAGAAGGCGAACATTTAGCATTTTAGGTCTAATCAGCCAACATTGTTTTAAATAGCCTGCGTAGCATGTCATCTTTTATAACATGGGATTTTGACCAAACATATTCAATCTTGATTTTTGTAAAATGTTGCAACAAGATATTATTTTGTGTGCAAAAAATTACAGTTTTTGACATAAGGTAATAAAAAATATTTTTAAAAATACCTTAAAGTAACTACAATTGAGCATGTAAAACAAATATCTTTAAAAAAAATAATAAAATCCATGTGGAGCATGCCCCCGGTTCTCACCCTTTTTTTCCCCTTACCTGTTTTCAACTCTGTGCTATATTTTTTTGTTGTGAAATGTTCCTGTGTATTATAAATTCATTTAATTCAATGGGTTTGTTTGTAATTGTATAAAAAATGAATGAAGTCATAATTATACTTGATTATTTCATTGTAATATTGGACCCGTAAACCGATTATTTACAATCAACTTTAACATTTCTTTAATTTTGTTCTTACACAAACGTTTATAATAATGTTGCGTTTATAATTTTGTTCAGTGTACAAACAAAACATGAGGGCTCGTATCATAAAAGCTTCAAAACTCTGCTGTCTTTTGTCACATAATTGTCTTTATTTTTCATATAATACTGCACATAATTTCGCCGGATTTAGCAGCAGATCACACTATAAATGAATGCATAATTGATTACTTCATGTTCTCCGTGTTTACTTCTGCATAAAGCGGGCACTAAGAAAAAGTGGGCGCTTCATGCGGGCGCTGCGCAAGTGTTTACACAAACGTTTATAATAATGTTGCGTTTATAATTTTGTTCAGTGTACAAACAAAACATGAGGGCTCGTATCATAAAAGCTTCAAAACTCTGCTGTCTTTTGTCACATAATTGTCTTTATTTTTCATATAATACTGCACATAATTTCGCCGGATTTAGCAGCAGATCACACTATAAATGAATGCATAATTGATTACTTCATGTTCTCCGTGTTTACTTCTGCATAAAGCGGGCACTAAGAAAAAGTGGGCGCTTCATGCGGGCGCTGCGCAAGTGTTGCCAAATCCATATTT